GCTGGCAGCCGCCGCGCCGTCCGTTGGGCCGCCGACAAACTCCTTCCCACGGCCAGTCGGTTCGTACTCGTTCACGTTATGCCTACAGTCACCAGCATCCCCTCTCCGAGTACGTAGACTGAATCTCGCCATTAGTTTCGTCCATTTCTGAGATGATTTTGAATTTGAATTTGATTATTTTGTTTGATTTTGTTGAGATTTGCAGCTGGATCGAGGATTCCAGTCGATGGCTTGGACGAGAGCGTGGTGACGATGTACAAACGAGACTTGAGGAAGGAATTCGAACAGGTTTTTGTGCCGTTCAAGAGGATTTGCAAGTCCACCAAGGTGAGTTTCTCCGATATTCTGTATCAATCATCTTTGGGTCTTCTGATTTCCGAAAATCATGCGAAATTTGGTTGGGATTGTCTGGTCGTGTTAGGTGGAGATTTTGTTGCTGGAACACTATGATCCTGCCAAGGCACTTCTGCAGTACATATCAGATTCTGGGGTTCAGTGTTTAGTGATGGGCTCTTGCTCTTCGAATTTCCTTGCAAGGTATGCTTTTCAGATTGAGATTTTTCTGAGGAATTGTGGTTTCTATGGCCATTTGAAATTGTAGTTGGAAGAACTTGACATGGCTGGAGAAATCCAGTTAGATGGTTATCCCATGAACTGCAAATCTTGAAGAAACGATAATTTGAACCGCATCATCTGTTTCAAACAATGTTGATGTGGAGTTAGATTTGATGTTTGATTGTTTCTGTCATCTGGAACATTTGAGGTTGAAGGTTTTGGCTTTATGGCTATGTCAGGAAGAAGGGACAAGGGATACCATTAACTGTTCTTGGAGAAGATCCAGATGCATGCGAGATATATGTTGTTTCCAAAGATAGAATCTTAACCAAATCATCTATTCACTTTTCCTCCTCTGGTATGTCGGAAAGTCCGTGGCTTTCGTTATCTAATATGTAAAGTGAAGAGGGAAAATGCGTTTTCTTTTCAAGTTATAATTTTGTTTCTGCCTGAAATTTACAGATGCAACCTCTAGTTCTCGTACATCTGAAGCCCAAGAAGCCTTCAGTGGCACACATACGGAGAAGAGCAGCTTTTCTACTTCATCCAGAGCATCCTCAGGGAGGAAGCTCTTTGGGAAGTTGGCCTTGTCTCAGCACAGTTACTTAACTTCTCGAGTGTTTTCCGACACACATCAATCAACCACCGTCAGTACGGTTGATGAACACAGCCATCCTATCCTTAGACATGGTACTACTGATGCTGGCAGTAACAAGCAGTTGAAGCCTGAAAGTTTCAGGAAAGCTCCTAAGGTTAGATTTTTTATTAAAAAAATAGTATCACTATTGCCCTGATTTTTGTTATCAAGCACACAACTCAAAAGCGTCTAAGTTTTGATCCGGAGAACTGATTTTGCAGTCAGATGTGAAGGCTGAAGTAGAACGTCTGAGAAAGGAAGTACAAACCACTCTTTCGTCGACAGTT